CACAGGTCCATTCCATAGGCCATATATCTGCAGGCCATTCCAATCCACGTGACCACATGCCTTTTCTTCATTGTACTCCTACGCCCTAAAAATAGAACCTGATTAGCAATAGGAGTGATGCTTCCTGTTCTTCTCCACACTCGTAAAGAACTGTGTCTGTTTTATAATCCTCTTTCTTCAGCAACCTCTTACAGTCTTCTTTAGAAACTATCAGCCAACTCTGAAGATCCTGCCTGAGATGCCATGTGCCAAGACCCCTAATATGGCTCCCAGAGGACTCCCCATGAAAAAGCCAACATATGGAGAGCTGCACCCCCAGAAGCTTGCAGGGGTGTGATTGTGCGCATTCCTGCAAAAGCTGGTGCACGGGGGGGAGGAGCTTTTTATAAAAAAGAAGTTACTTGGTTACTGACTGCCTGGTTGGAAAAAAAAGGGATGGTGGCTGTAGCCCATGGAAGTTTATCAGGGTAGAAATAGAAAGGTTGTGTGCCCCAGATACATAATGCACCCCAGTCTAGCATTTTTACAAGTTCTTGCATCTCTCCTACCTGTGGCCACTCTGTAAGATGCTCGGAAATCATCTTCCAGAGGCCGGGCCATCTTTGCTGTGGCACCTGCACTCTGGAACCAGCTCCCTGTGGAGCTGCACCTGGACCCCTCCCTCCCTACATTTAAATGCCTCCTGAACACATTGCTTTCCAGAGAGGGCTCTCATGACAACCCTGCTTGATTTCATGCCATGGTTTCATCTTTTAGCTAGAATTTATGCCTCTTGGGATTGCTGCACCGTTTTAATGTTCTATTTTTTATTTCCTTATTTATAAATCTGCCACTGTTGGGTGTTATTTTAGTATGCTGTAAACCACCCAGAAGCATTCATTGCAGTAATACATACATACATACATACATACATACATACATACATACATACATACATACATACATACATACATACATACATACATACATACATACATACATACATACATACATACATACATACATAAAAGGTACCTGTTAAAATTGGAGTGATAGGGTCAACAAACTGGCATGAAACCAATTGATTTCATGGCAATCTTCCAGCTAGACACAATTCCTAGTTTCTGCACACTCATCTCCCTCTTTCACCTTCTGACAAAACAGAACTACTGTATTCTGCTTATGACTGTTACAAGTGTTCTTGTTGTGTGGTTTCAGTCTTGCATCCCATGAATTCAAGCATCGTACCCAGTCACACTTCCCCAAGAAGAAGCAGCCTTAGCCTTGAAGCACAAAGTAAATGCCTGTGGGCTCAACATTGCTCACCCTACAGCCAACTCTTCTAGCACTCTTGGAAAGTATGGTAAAGAATTTTGTCCTGAAAAAAAGTGGGTCTACTAAATCAAATACATTTCCCTCCTGCGCCATAGTTCTCATCTTTCCCTTATGCCTTCTTCTTTTCCTAAAGTAGCTCAGTCTAAGACTTCGGGAGGATGAAAAGATTGGAAGTCAGTAACCTCCTCAATTCCCAAACATCACTTGGTCATCAGCCAGAAAGTCATTTTTAAAGATGCCAAAGAATACCCCATTTTATTCCATACACTATAATCCCGTGTAATGTAAGAAAAGTGAGAGAATTTTGTTTTCTTCTGGAACTAGTGGGTAATGCTACTGGCTGAACACAGAGTGGCACACCCTGCAGGAAACACAGATTTACATGCCAAAGGTTTAGTGAGACAAGAGCTCCCTTGTCAAATACTTGCATAAGCACCAAATCTTTCACAAATATTACACAAACACCCTGAAGAGTGCTTTCCTCCCAAGGAGCAAGGCGTCTTTTAATTTCATGGCTGCTGTCCCAATCTGCAGTGATCATGGAGCCCAAGAAAGTAAAATCTGTCACTGGCTCCCTATCTTCCCCTACTATTTGCCAGGAAGTGATGGGTCCAGTGGCCATGGTCTTAGTTGGGGTTTTTTTTCATGTTGAGCTTCAGACCTTTTTTTTTGCACTCTGCTCTTTCACCCTCATTATTAGGTTCTTTAATTCCTCCTTCACAGGGACGTGGTGGCGCTGTGGGATAAATCGCAGAAGCCTGTGCTGCAGGGTCAGAAGACCAGCAGTCGTAAGATCGAATCCACGCAATGGAGCGAACTCCCGTCGCTTGTCTCAGCTCCCACCAACCTAGCGGTTAGAAAGCATGCAAATGCAAGTAGATAAATAGGGACCACCTCGGTGGGAAGGTAACAGCATTCCGTGTCTAAGTCGCACTGGCCATGTGACCACGGAAAGATTGTCTTCGGACAAAACGCTGGCTCTATGGCTTGGAAACGGGGATGAGCACCGCCCCCTAGAGTCGAACACGACTGGACAAAAATTGTCAAGGGGAACCTTTACCTTTACCTAATTCCTCCTCACTTTCTGCCATCAGAGTGGCATTGTCTGCATATCTGAGGTTGTTGATATTTCTTCTGGCAGTCTTAATTCCAGCTTGGGATTCCTCCAGTCCAGCCTTTTGCATGATGTATTCTGCACATGAGTTAAATAAGCAGGGATACAATATACAGCCTTGTCATACTTCTTTCCCAATTTTGAACCAATCAGTTGTTCCATATCCAGTTCTAACTGTTGCTTCCTCTCCCACATACAGATTTCTCAGGATAGATAAGGTGGTCAGGCACTCTCATTTCTTTAAGAACTTGCCATAGTTTGTTGTGGTCCACGCAGTCAAAGGCTTTTGTGTAGTCAATGTAGCAGAAGTAGATGTTTTTCTGAAACTCTCTGGCTTTCTCCATAATCCAACACATGTTCGCAATTTGGTGTCTAGTTCCTCTGCCCCTTCGAAATCCAACTTGTACTTCTGGGACTTCTCGGTCCACATATTGGTGAAGCCTACTTTGGAGGATTTTGAGTGTAACCTTGCTAGTGTGTGAAATGTGTGCAATTGTACGGTAGTTAGAGCGTTCTTTGGCACTGCACTTCTTTGAGATTGGGATGTAGAATGATCTTTTCCAGTCCTCTGGCCACTGCTGAGTTTTCCAAACTTTCTGACATATTGAGTGTAGCACCTTAACAACGACATTTTTTTAGATTTTAAAATAAGCCACACCTGCATCCATTGCCTGTGTGAAGGGGGCAAGAATAAAGGTGTCATTGCCCTGCACTCTCACAACCTCTCCATGTATTTACTGTATCTGTGGGAAAAGTCTGAATAAGAAGTATATGTATGAGTAACATGAGTAGACAATTACCATGAAAGAAGAATTTAACACAACAGAGAACGCCCTCAAATACAGGCATATGCAAAGCTGTGACGGGGTGGCGGGGAAGGAAAGAGGAAATGGCTCTTCTGGGTAAGAAAACAGATGGAAATGAAGGAAGGATCAACCCTGGCGTTCGTACCTCCTCTGCCTCCCAACCTTTCTAATAAATGTGCTTACAAGGTATCATATACTAGAAGAGCAACAACGAGAAAAGGCATCACCTCACACTTCCAAAAAGGGAACTGACAGCTTTAAAAGATGGAGCATTTACTCACCATATGTATATATAAAGTCTAATACAGTTGTTCCATCAGCTTTGTCAGTTCTGCTGCTTCTCCAGATCACTGAGTGTTGCTGCCTATGGACTGCTTTAGTTCACATCAGTAAATCTCCACCTGACACCAATTTGAAGTTTGCCAATGTTTGAAATAGTAAACCCTTCCCACCCCCACCCCCCTGATTTTACAGCTAATCCTTAAAAACGTCAGGAGCGGCTGTGGCCACTAAGTCCCTCCCACCACAACCCTAAGACGACTTCACCCATTTCCTTCATGGGATAATTGCTGCTGGCAACACAAAAAGCGTACATAGGTAGCTGCCCAGTTACAAGAATGCATTGTGTGCATGAAGATGATTTAGTCACACCAAAAAAAGGCCTTGCACTTCCATATAATGACAAGAACCTCCATGTTTGGTTAAATACAGTGTGATTTTATTCTGAGAGGAGACAGAGTGACAAAAGAGGGATGCCAAGAACAAGAGAGACAGTATTGTATTGTGGAGATTGTTTATAGGAGCTAATTCCACCTTCAGCATAGACTGCATGGCACATTTTTGGGAATTCTGGCTAACTGTGAATCATAGAACTATAGAATAATGATGTTGAAAGGGGCCTATAAGGCCATCGAGTCCAACCCCATGAATGGTATGTGCTGCATAACTGTGCTGGTATGTGCTGCATGATTATTTCTTTTACAAGTAACATCAGCTCAAGAAACCAAACACCATCCATCGATGGTGATGTATGAATCCAGCAGCCTGTCTCTCCTTGAAAATCAGACTGCAATGACTGTGTGTGCAGAAGGTCTGTGGTTTATTTAGCAGCACTCTGCTCATGAGCAATAACCAGACTTCACCTAGGACCCTGGTCTACTGTGGTGTGTGGACCCCGTCGCTACTATCACATCTTCCTTTGACAGCCTGATGGGATCCAAAGGAACTTGGAAAGGTTTTAAGAATTATCAAACTCCAAAAGAACTGTTTGAAATAATCTTCCCAAAAGGGTTGAAAGGAGACATATTATCCAGATGAATGCACTGGGAGAAGGGCAGAAGGTTTGGAAATGGTGTAATTAGGGGAATTAATCCAGATTAGTGTTATGATAAAGTGCATTAGGCTTGTCCAGTTTTTTTTTTTGTTTTGTTTTTTTTTTTTTGCTTCAAACAGTTTTGATGACGTTGCCATACGTACACCAAGAGCCAAAACAATTCTGGGCAGATCTAACATTATGGATACAGATCCAGAAAGTTTCACCCAGGAGTAGCTGACTGGACTTATCCTTCACCTCAGTTCTCCAGTGGATTCAGTGCAGCAAGAACTCCAGATTCACATGTACAACTTCGCTTATCTCAGATTTGGCAGCAGCACAGTTTTACACATGCCTGGCCACTTCTATGTGCAGGAGCTCAGCACAAAGGGGAGGTGCAAGCAGCAAGCGCATGCTCAGCCTCTGAGTACCAGTAGAAGGGAGAGCAGGACAAATCACACACATCATGCTATCCAAGCATGGACGGGGTTAATAATGCCCTGGGCAGCTGCCAGTTTGAGAGGGTCCTAGCAGCTCCAGCTTCTTGTCCATGAATCCGTTCCTCAAACAAGCAAAGCATATCACATTAACCATCATGTGATTGCATGCTGCCTCTAAGGGCTTAACTAAGGAGAGCTTTTATTCTGCATTTTGCATCTCTCTCACCAACAAACTCTCTCTTCGCCTTAACCCCAGTGTTGGTGGATTTTTCTGCTGCCTGTCATTTGGCAAAGGGTCTTTTTTTGTTTTTTGTATTGTACTGTCTGGACATTAAACGGTGGGGCTACTTTGCCCAAATGGACAACAGCCCCCCCTTTGTCTTCCACAGGAAGATCACTGGGGTAAGTAACTTGTCAAGCCTTCTGTACGTCACAAATTGAGAGGTATCTGCCTCAAGCTTGGTCTGCTGCAGTGCCTTACATTCCTCAAGTGATTAGCTGGGATTTTAATTGCATCCGACTTGTGAACGCCAGCCAGGGCTCTATTCCTGGCTACTGTGCTCTGGCCTGTGTAGAGGGACAAGTCCCCACTTTCCTGGGTCTCTGACTTGCATGCTAGGCTAAGGAATGAGAAGCAAAAGGTGTGGGCATTTGGACCAAATGGGTATTTCCAAGATTCCTAGCTCATAATATTTCCAGAAGCAGATGCCATGAAATTGACAGAAAGGCATAAGTTGTTGCTTTCTATTTCCTTTGGAGACAAAATCTTCAGCCATAGTAATTTTCAAATCTAATTTCACTCTGTTTCACAGTTCTGTTGCAATGAAGCTCAGTGATGGCTATTCATTCCTGTTCTGCATTTTTTGTTCTTGTTACATGTCATCAAGTCACTTCTTACTTATGGTGAGTATGAATGAGAGCTCTCCAGAACTCCAGAACATCCTGTGCTCAACAGCCCTGCTCAGCTCTTGTAAACTCAAGCCTAAGGCTCCTTTTATACAGTCAATCCACCTTCCTCTTTTCTTGCTGTGTTCAGTCTTTCCCAGCATTATTGTCTTTTCCAGAGAATCTTGCCTTCTCATGATGTGCCCAAAGTAGAACAGCCTCAGCTTCAAAATTTTTGCCTCCAGAGATAGCTTAGGCTTGATTTGAGCTAGGATCCACTTGTTCATCTTTCTGGCAGTCCAGGGAATCCACAAAGCTCTGCTTCAGCACCATATTTGAAACTAAACAATTTTTTTCCTGTCAGCTTTCTTTACAGTCAAGCTTTCACACCCATACATGGTGAGCAGAAATACAAGAGCGTGGATGATCTTGTTCTTGGTGTCTAGAGACACATTCTTATACCTGATTATCTTTTCTCATTTCTTGATTGCTGCCCTTTTGAGTCTCAGTCTTCTTCTGATTTTTTGGCTTCAGTCTCTATTTGGATTGATGATTGAACCAAGGTATGCAAAATTTTTAACAACTTCTTCACTGTCAACGTTAAAGTTGTGTAGTTCTTCTGTAGTCTTTTTTTATTTTTACTTTTTTAATAAATTTTTTTTGTCTTCTTAAATACAGTATTCAGCTGCAGTCCTGCTTTTGCACTTTCTTTTTACACTTTCTTTGACTGCCCTCTGGCCATGTAGTTTCTGTTTCGCTTGCCAATGGTTTTCTAGGCAGTGGGTGATTTTCAATTTGCATATATCATTATGGATCAGGAATTGCCATATCGTCATCAGCTCACCTCCAAAGTTTAGGAAAGCAATCCTAGTTATTTTCCTCTAGAATTGAATGAACATATATTTCTGAAGTAAAAGTACTGAACTTGAAAGAAATCTCCTAAACTGCTAGAAGGAGTTAGAGAAGAAGCAATGACTGAGAATAAATGTTTGACCAGTTCCAGTTTAGCAACTGGGCTCCATTTGGTCTGGACTGTTGATAAGTCTTGAGTGTCACAATTTTACCTTTTTGAAGTGCACCTTCCAGAATCTCCAAGAAGGATGGCCAGCAAGAGGGAGAAAATAGATGGTTCTTGTTCCGCTCCTGACAAAGCCATGTGCTATACTGTGGAGTCCAGCCATGTTGCTCTCATGTTGCTGTATCTGTACACCCTTTGAAAGGCCACTGGCAACTGGTAACCTCACTGCCCATTAGAGGGCTAGACTTTGACACATTAAAGCCATCCAGGACTGGTAGCATGCAGGTGTAGTGGACAGGGCACTGTGGCTTACAGATACACGCTTTCTTGCAAACAATGCTTTTACACTCAACATATTCACCTAATGCCCTGGTTTCTTCCAAATCTGGATGATCCCTTTTTCTTTGTGTCCAGAGAGGAATCCATATGTTGGCCCACTTTGAATATATGTTGAATGTTGTCCTTTGACCCAGGTCTGAAAAGGGCAGTGGCTAGCTGTCCATGAGGGCAAATGAGGCATTTCCACTGTGTGCTCCCTCAATCTAGGCTCCCTTTGCCAGATAACTCCTCCCTTCCTCCTTTCCTGAAGCAGAAGATTGAGGGCCCCACATGTGTTGACCTCAAGTTTACTGGCAAGTCTGTCATGATTGGGATGAGAGAATCAAGATGCTTGAATAAGTCCACTGACCACCTTTGGTCATAAAGAGTATCACCAGCTGCAGAAGAAATTAGAAACATCTCTAATGTGGGAACAGGATGTATTTTTCTCCTCCTCAGCTGTGAATTACAGTAATAGGATGGGAGTAAGAGACTATCTCATTCAGTACTTGCCTCTCTCTCCCTTCTGTGTCTTTCTGTGTATGGGAGTGCTTTTGTACCTGCCTATGTGTGCATGGGTGTATGAATACTGACTTCTACGTCCTGCTCATAGCTAGTTTCCACCTACAACCGGCTGCTACCAACCACAATGGGCACCAGCCTCCATTGGAGGAGAAGGACACTGTCACCAATAGGTTTCTCTGACTCACAGGCTATAAACAATCATTTTGGGACCCTTAGCTTCCCTCTGCCAGCATGGCTACTGGCCACGGTGACTGGAGAATTATGGAATCTATAGTCCAAAACAGGAACTTTTCCAGCTTATGTTGTGATCAAAGTAGCATTTTGCCTTTCATTTAGTAACAACTACAGGCTTCTAGCCATTTCTTCATCCTTAATTGGACAGGGTGCTTGATTTTTTTAAAGGAGTGCTGCAACCATCTGCCTGGTCTGTCTTGGATAAGCTATGCTAGGTGCTCTCGTCCAGTTATGTGTATGTGCGTGTGTAAACCTATTTCAGCAACCCATCTGTATATGAAAAACAAAAACCTAATCTGAGGCTGCGGTGTCTGAATATTGTGGAATTCATTTCTTCATAAATTAGACTGTCAGAATTAGGACTGCCACTTTGCCTGGTTGGTTGGGTTTTCCCTAGATTCTGCACACGCCACGCAGGGTCTGTTTGAAGCGTTCTCTGGCCTGGATTTCCAGCTTTTTTTCTCTCCTTTCTTTCTAGTAAGTCTCTGGCCTTTGTGAAATCAGAGATAGAAGACAAGAGGCTGTCACTGTTTTATCCCATTGTCTCTAAGAAAATAACATTTATTTGGGTTCACCAGTGATTTTCCTCTCCTAGTTCCCTATAAATGTTGCAACTTGGAGAATATCTGTTTCCAACTTGTTTTCAAACAAATGAGGCACTTTTGCAGAACTGCCTGCAAACAGAGTGTACAACATTTAAATTGTACAAAAAAAGGACCAAAACTTATTGTATCTTGGTACAGTTTAATATTTGTGGATTTCTGGAAGGGAGCTTCAGATGATGATAAGAAAACAATAAAATTATTTTGGAAAGATTGGTTGTACTTTTAACTGTCTTGGAAGAATGGTAATGTCATTTAAACTGTTTACTGAAATGTATGTCTTATTAAGTTTAATGGGCAATTTATCTATTTGTATTTATTAGGAATCAAGACTAGGGAAGTTACTTTCTCGGAATATACCTCCCAGACTCTCCCACAACCATGTTGTCTAGAGCAGTGGTTCTTAACCTTTGTTACTCGGATGTTTTTGAACTGCAACTCCCAGAAACCCCAGCCAGCACAGTTGGTGGTGAAGGCTTCTGGGAGTTGCAGTCCAAAACTCCTGAGTAACCCAAGGTTAAGAACCAGTGGTCTAGAGGATTCTGGGTGTTGTAGTCCTTCAAAAAGTAACTTTTCCAAGCACTTTGGTGTATCTCATTCTGTACTACAGTGTAGCTCCTAGCAGTGAAACTAAACAACATCTATTGGATATGGCATGGGGCTAGATTTTTTTTTTTTTTGCCACTAAACAGAAACTACTTCCTTCCCTTCTCATATTCCTTGGTAGCAAATTGTTGTCTTGTTGCCTTTAATTTACTATAAACTGGTCTAAAAGATTTCCTTCATGTTCTGAGATTTGCTCAGAGGCATAATAATTGAACTGTATCCAACAGCCATAAATCTACATCAATTATGAAGCATTTGTCTTATCAAAAGCTCCTCTGATTTGTGTTTTTATCTGTCCTTCCTCTGTCATATAGATTGATTCCAATTTTCAAGGGGTTGGACATCTTTTGTCAATTGTGTATAGTCCTATGTATAATGTCCTCATTTCAATTAACATTTAAGCATCCTCCTCTGCTTTTCTCACATGGAAAGAGAAGAGGCTTCTCTTCACTGTAGACTTTCCACACAAAGAAAGATCCCTGATTCTCCAAGCCACAGGCTTATATGGAAATCCTACATGTGAACAAGGCCTTCTTTCCATCAGATGTGTCACTTTCCACATAAGGAAAAACATCAAGGAGTTGGCAAGATGAGGCTGGGCATTCCCTTGATGTTCATATGTAGATTAAAATAGAGACAGAAATGCCTGAATGGGTCTTTTTGTTGTCCTGGAAGCCCAGTTTTTTTCTCCTGGTGATTCTCTGTTCCTAAAGGATACAGCCAGAGAACACATGTTTAATGTTTCCCTGTTTAATTACATGGCTTAACCAAAGATACGTACAGAGTTGTTAAATACCAAAGTATAGCTTCTTGCTTTTGTTCCATAATGAAAAAAAGAGTTGTTTCCCCTTTTTCTTTTCATACTTTGTGTGGCATGCAATTCTGATTTCTGTAAAATAGCATGAGGGTTTTTAACACCATGCAGATAGTTGACCATTGAATAGCAGCACCTAGCATGGCTTGCTGATGATACAAACCTACAACTGCTTTGGGCGTAGTTTTGGCCTGTGACCATTCAAAGGACAATAGCTTCTATGCTGGGCTAATAAGTCCTATGCTGTCTTTTAGAAGTGCAGAATCCACTTTACCATCTAGCCTCCTCCACTCCAGTACCTGACAAGCTGTCACTGCTATTAAAGCTTGTTAGTTCCTCCTACACTTCACCTCCAGGTTGGTTCTGCTCATAAGAGATGTGTATGTGAGTGAGGCCTTCACATTACGAAGAAATTCTTCCATAAATCTTACTAAGTGCAGATTCCTTAACATTAGAGGAAAGTTCATTTTAAACTTAGAAGGCTTAGAACTGGACTGCAGGTTGCTTTAGTTTTCCAGTCCTCTAACTACTCTTGTAATGACCCTTTTGCTGCTTCTTGGTTCACTGCAGCAGAGAATCCAAGACAACTGGAAGTGAAAATATATCTTTTAATATAGTCTTTCAGTGATATAAGCCAACTTTGTCTATTCATTGATTTTAGCATTGTTGTTGTTTAGTTGTTTAGTCGTGTCCGACTCTACGTGACCTGGAGAAAATCTGCATGTTAGGGAAATCGTGCAAAAATGCATAAATTAGAGGAAATGCAGGAAAATTTCCATGAGAGAGCACAAACCCCAAATCTTCCAAACTGATACAAACAAGAGATGAGATGGGAATCCAGATGGAACTGGAAGAAACACAATTAAGTGAGGATGGAGAGTTCTTCTCATTTGTATCGAAATGAGATTTTTGTGATGCATTCTGATGGATTTTCATATGCCCTTGTTTGACATGCATTTTCATCCCTCTTAGCACCTCACGTTCCCTCTGCTTGCTGTCACAATCCTGGCATCATTTGGATCCTCCATGCTCTATGGCTACAATCTGGCTGTGGTGAATTCTCCAGCCATGGTAAGATGAGGGTGGGAAGTGCGTGCTCACACAATCCCTCACCTCCAAAATTAATATGCCCCAACATTCCCAAGAGAAGGGCTCTGTCTTCACTTTCTGGACTGGTATGTCTTATTGACCCGAACTGCTCCTGTTCCTCCCTACTACTTAACTTTGGTTGCCATGCTCCATTCCAAAGATTTGTTAAGGCTCCAGCTATGGATAGAATCTGATCACGATAAATGTGGACCTAGAAGACTCATCCCCTCACTCCGCTGTGTATCTTTCTCCTTTGCAGCATATCAAATCCTTTTATAATGCAACATGGTATCACCGATATGGAAGAGGCCTGGCTCAAGGGCCACTCACGCTCATGTACTCACTGACTGTCTCGGTTTTTGCCTTGGGAGGCCTGGTGGGGTCATTCCCAGTTGGAATTCTGGTCACTTTGTATGGAAGGTAAGAAGAGTCCTAAGGCAGCAGGTGATTCTCCAGGTTTTAGCATAGAAGGGGAAGCTTTGACATCCCTCTGAAATTCATGTTATACCTAGAATCTGGAGCAGGGGGAGCAAGCGGACTGGCATCAGGACTGCAATCAACCATACCTTTGGCTCATGTCACAGTTCACTGGGAACTTTTAAAGCAGCCTTCCCCAACCCAATGCCCTCAAGTAGCATTAAACTGCAATTATTATAATCCTCACCCAATGTGCTAATGACCATCACATAGTGAAAACAACTGGAGTTGTAGTCCAGCACTTCTGAAGGCCATCAGAGTGGGAAAATCTACCCAAGATCCTCCTGGATTGACCACTCTTGAGCCTGGCTGCTGCTCCATATTCGCTTACAGTATTTCATCTAAGCAAATGACCAGAAACAGGAGAAAAGAGAAGTAGCCGGGAGGTAGAAGCAGAGGGAGTGCCCTCTCCCTTTTAGTGGCTGTATGGATTGGGTCCAATGGGAGAAAGCAAAGAAGTAGAAAGTTGCAACAGTAGTGAGGAAGGTCAGCAGTGAGGGTCTGCTAAGAAGGGGGCCAATAAGGAATCTTTTAACCAAAATATTGGGAGACCATTCTACAAGCAAGAATACCCATGGATTAAGACAGAAATGGGTGTGGAGTTGTAAGACTTAAAGAGCAAAGGGAAAGAAAAAATGGATCTCCCTCAGACAAGCACTGGCTAGATAGCTAGTTGTCCATTAAATGTTCAGCAGCCCTTTCTGTGACAGCCCACAGTGGTAAAACTGGTGCCTCACAGCTGCTGATAATTGGTATGTATCAACATCTAATGTTAATTTAAATTCCTTTTTGGTTCTGTCTTTCGACACATGTAGAAAAGATATACTTGTTTTTTCTGCCAGAACACTGGGCAGAAAGAGGAAGAGAGTTTGGGGTTAGCTGGGGTTTTTTGGGGGGGTGTCTCTCTTGATTTATTTTATTTTTAGTAATATTTGCTTCTTCTGTCTCTTACTTTTTTCTATTTGCTTCTCTTAATATTTGTCAGAAATAAGACAGTAACATTCTTATTGTTTCTGAATTGCTTGGGGAACTTTTATTCTACTTTTATTTTGTAAAATAGTGGTGAATATAAGTAACGGACATAGGTAAATACATCTGGATCAGTCAGTCAGTCAGTCAGGATGAACCTATGCTTCTCATAACTCATCCACCCTTCAATTCATGTCTAGAAGTTAATTTGACTTGGTGGCTACTTGGCAAATCTGGATTGTACCATTAACAGTAATTTTCTGTATATTCAAGCAAGGAGGTCCATCTCAATTGAAACACAAGACATTATAGAGACCCAACCAGCAATGTAGCTGCTTAATGAGCTATGTCCCATTTGGCTAATCAATTCATCTCTGATTTACATGCACTAGGATGACCTTCCCTAAATTCATTGTCTATACTGGATGGAGAGAATGGGACTAGTAGTCAACACATCTGGAGAGAGGCTGTGTTAGGATACAATAAAGCACTTCTAATGACAATCAAGAGAGGCAGTAACTCTCAATGCACTACTATAGTAAAGAAAGAAACACTTATTTGACTTGACACTTCGGTGAATTGGTACCTAAGTACTAGACTTAACTAGAAAAGAGAGTGCTTGGGCCACAAGGAAGATTTGGAATGATCTGAAATCCAAACATCTGTGTTAATTAACAGGAATGGCACCTTGGTCCGTAGCAATCTCCTTGTCCTCCTGGCTGGCATATTAATGGGGTTAAGTCGCTACCTGGAATCACCTGAAATGGTCATCTTTGGACGTTTCATCACTGGTGTTCATTCTGGTAGGAGATACCATTATACCCTGACCTTCTTTCTCACACTGTGTTGGGCCTTGATGAATTGATGTGAGGCATGAGACGGCACCAATGTATAATTTTCACAAAAAATGATGAGGTGACAAATCTGTTTCTGGTTTTTACCCTCAGACTGCAAATGGGGGTTAACATGACTGCTCAGTCATAGGCATGTCTATTCAGTGACAAGTCCTTCTAACTCTACTGTGAAACTCTACTCTGAAACTGTACAATACGGTTAGGACATCATTTGAAATGTAGCTCCCTTCAGAGGTGAAAGACCCATATTTCCAATTCTGAGCATGTTGCACATTTGCTTGCTTTGGTTTTATGACTGGTTGTCAGGAGGCTTCATTTGCAAGTTCATTCTTCAATCACAGGGCTTTGAAGGAATTACATTCCAGGGGAAAATATGCTAACAACATGCTAATCTGTGTCTAGTGTGGTGATGAGTGAAGTCTGAACATTCTTCCACCACACTAAATAAAAATAAAAATAAATAAATAAATACTTGAATACAGAAAAAATAGAGATTAATATACTATCTCTCTCTCTCTCTCTCTCTCTCTCTCATACACACACACACACACACACACAGAGAGAGAGAGAGAGAGAGAGAGAGACAGACAGACAGACAGACAGACAGACAGACAGACAGACAGACAGACACCATGCTCCAGGTCTTGTGCATGCCCAGAAGTTTGTTCCTGGTTTTAAAGCATATGAAATCTTGCAAAATTCGTCTCGATGAAAATGGTCAGTTCTTTTTGGTTTTGTATTCTCGAAGGCTTTCGAACTGAAGAAGAAAAACAGACACCCACAAATAAAGTATTTCTGCCATACATCAAAGGGGCCATGGACCGCATGAGGAAACTTTTGAAAAAACACAACCTACAAACAGTATTCAGATCCACCACAAAAATACAACAAATGTTACAGTCAGCAAAAGACAAAAGGAGTATACTGGATACCTTGCAGTTGTGTCCAGTTATATATTTGGACCACAAACACAGCATCCACATTAGAATCAAAGAACGTGAAAGACACTGTAGACTAAAACAACTGGAAAAATGGGCAGTAGCTAACATGCCCTAAGACAAGCTGTAACATGAAATCCTATTTCAAAACACAGGAGTACTGAACAACACCAGCAATCATTATGTTAGACTACACAGGGAAGCCATTAAAATCCACAAACACCAGCAGAGTTTCAACAAAAAAGAAGAAAGTCTAAAACTCAACAAAGCCTGGCTCTTAGCACTGAAAAATACAGCCTGCAAAAAGGTCAACGAACTCTACCCAGCCACAAGGACCAGTGCACATAAAACACTAGCTAACAACACCCATCAATCACAGTGACAGATCATCTCCCCCCCTTATCACAACAATACATCCATAACAAAAAAAACACCCTAATCACCATAATCACCCAATCTCCTGAAAAGGACAAAAAGCTGATCCCACAGCTACAAATACTCAACTATCCCACACACTACACCAGAACATACAGTTCTAACTCCTGTCCTCTGAAGATGCCAGTCACAGAGACTGGTGAAACATTAGGAAGAAAACCTCTAGAACACGGCCGAACAGCCTGAAAAACCTACAACAACCATCTTTTGGGTTTTCTTTCCCTTTTCTGCAAATGCATGCCATGGCCCACATAACTTTTCTGCATGCTCTCAACAAAGCAATTTACCACAATATGAAATGCCACAAAGAGCTAATTATTAAGGTGCCCTTACATTGCACAATCTCTTTGTTTCAATGGACTAATATAGCCTACTTTAGAGATTCATGTATAATCATTATTAAGATATTAAGCCTGTCCTCGGTTCTGAGGATGCTGTACCAGAGCATTTCCCTGACCTTCTGGAATTCTGAACCCACCAGGCCATATGGGCTGCTGCTGATTTTTAAATCCTTTCTTTCCTTCTTCCTGTTAGGCATCTGTCTTAGTGTGGTGCCCATGTATCTGGGAGAAATTGCTCCCAAGAACCTGCGTGGATTCCTGGGCCTTGTACCAAGTATCTTCATCTGCCTGGGGGTCTTCTCTGCACAAGTCTTGGGCCTTCCAGAACTGCTGGGGGAGGTAAGTATTCATTCTGCTCCCTACATAGAATGGCCTGGGACCTGGTAAGGGTAAGAGGTGTACCTCTTTGTATCCAATTTGGTTGGAAAGGGCAGGTGGACTAGTTTGAACCCCAACATGCTGTCAAATCCTTCATGCTTCCCTGAGTGAAGAAAGCTCTGGAGGCCGTACTTTTTGCCCAGTTTTGGTTCTTCTGGAAGAAGTGGCTGAAAATGGAAGATGTTTCTCCAATACCTGACTTTATTTCCCTATATACACATTGAACATAAATGGAGGCAAATGGTGTCATTTCCACAAAACACCCAAAAAGCTGTATTGGAGCTTCAGAAAAAGGTACTTTGCACATTCATGTGCTTTTAGCTGATTGTTCCTAGCTGTTTCTCAAACTATCAATTATCTGGTTTAGTGTCCTCAAAATGGCAGCTTCTATAACTACTGTATTTTATTTATTAATTTAAAGCATTAATTTCTTGCCCTTCTGCCTGGCAGATCTGCTAAAACAATTTACAGTAGATTAAACTGATTTTAAATGGATCTAAAATATTAAAAATGGATTTAAAACATTCCATAAAAGCAGATCGAAGTATATCCCTAAAAAACTGTTTTTGCTTTGGTTTTGTTTTGTTTTGTTTTGTTTAAAAAAAAACAGTCATAGAAGTCAAAGGCAGAGCTGCCCATGGGAAGCTCAATTTAACTTCCCTTGGAAAGGAGTTCCACAACTGAGGTACTGCTACAGGGAAAGTTTCTTCATTTGTCTCCTGTCACACACCCTCAGTCACTCATATAAAACACACTCCCTCTTTCCTTCTTTCTTTCCCTTCCCCTCCAAATCACACAAACACAGGCACACTCGCAATCACTTTAATCAGCTCCTCCGGTAGGGAGGAAGAGAGGATGACTCATTTCCCCCAGAATAAGTTTTACTATCCAAATGAGTTTTCTGTTCTTTTGATTCATTTTCTCCCTGTGCCTCTGTTTGACCTAACAAAATTGTTTCTGATATGTTTCAGTTCTGACATTTAAGGAACTGTTAGCACTCACTGAAATCATCTTAACCTTCTGTTCTCCAAATCTCAAACTTCTTGGTGGAAATCAGATAGGAAACGCATACCAGTCATGAGACACATACTGTACAGCAATTATTTTTAACTAAGGGAGAGAGGGAAAAAACTACACCATCAAGGATCATGCTGGAGGAAGAAGGAGGGCATTCTTATTTAAAGTAGGAATGGAGCCTGTTACTGAGGTGACTCCCGTATCTATCCATTCACTCTGCCCTGCTGCTAATTCTGGGATACCCGAATAGCCATATTCCTTTCCCACATTTGTGTTTAGAAGTACTTCCATAGGCAAGCCTTGCCTTGAGCAGCAAAGTGGGGTAAGAACACGCCCTGACATTTTGAAGTTATGCACCCTGCACTTGGACCATAAACCACCCTTTTACAAATTATCTTCCTGTTTCTGTAGTTTGGGTCTCAGTATCTGACTTCTCAGAATCCTCAAGGATAAAGATAGGGGCTATAGAAAAAATATATAATGATAAAATGATTGTTTTATTATTTATTTACTTACTTATGTATTTCTTTTTCATGATGATGATGATGATTTACATTTACATCTCCCCTTTCCTCCAATGATCTCAAGGCACTATACAGAAGCAATCATCTCCTTACTTTATCCTCACCACGTTGAAAATGTGTGACTAGCCTAAGGTCACCCAATCAGTTTAAATGGGCATTTGAACCTGGGTCTCCTGAGCCGTAGTACAACAGCCTAACTCCTACACTAGAGGCTAACTCGTGTTTCCATGCCCTGCCTATTACATGTAACCCTTTTGTCAGGAACTGTCTACAAAAACATCGTTGCTGCCTTTTGGGACTCTCTCTTTCTAGGATTCCTACTGGCCTCTTTCCCTCTCAGTGGTGGTTGTACCTTCCTTTGTGCAGCTCTTGCTGCTGAACTGGTTTCCAGAAAGCCCCCGTTATTTACTTATTGAGAAGAATGATGTCCATGGAGCTACTGATGGTGAGTACAATGCTACATGGGCTCAACAGTAATAAGAAGGGTTCTTAGTAAGCCACATCGGTCCGATCATGCCCAAATCCAGGACGCAGTGAGTTCCCACATTCTCCAAAGGACTCCCAATTTTCAGCTCAAGAAATAAGGACAAAAACCTATCTGTACTACCAACTCTAATGCCCAACTGGTTAAAAGAGAGAGAGAGAGAGATTGATTCTGCTTCCTTCACTCAGACATATCAGGGTAATCTTACAGACAATGTTTAAGACTGACCTGACCCGCTTTGCCTCCCACTTCCTAATTTTCTCAGCAATACATGCACAATTTAAGTCCTGTTTATCTGCCAATAAACAATTACAAAACATATTACACTAAAGCTATCTCAAGGCCCACATCTCCCTTTAGAAGCCTGCTCAAGTGTTACCATAAGAAGAGGCCTTTCTCTTGGTACCGCCACCTTCACAGGTGTACTTGGTAGGGACACAGAAGGGGCCTTCTCTGTTGCTGCTTCCAGACTTTGGAACTCCTTTACATAAGAGACCAGGCCAGCCCCACCTTTGCTGTCCTTCCACAAGCAGGCAAAGACCATTCTCTTCAGGCAACCTTACCCAGAGTGACTGCCTGCCTGACTGAGGGTTTTAAAATTGTTCGTTGTACCCTACTACTTTGATTGTGTCTTGGTGTTGGTTTCATTTACTGTTTCTTAGTATGGTATTTGTTTGATCTTTTTTAGTATTTGTATTTGTTGTTGTTCAGTTGTTAAGTTGTGTCCAACCCTTCGTGACCCCATGGACCAGAGCACGCCAGGACCTCCTGTCTTCCACTGCTTCCTGGAGTTGTGTCAAATTCATTCTGGTAGCTTCGATGACACTGTCCAACCATCTCATCTTCTGTTGGCCCTTTCTCCTCTTGCCTTCACACTTTCCCAACCTCAGGGTCTTTTCCAGAGAGTCTTCTCTTCTCATTGGATGGCCAAAGTATTGGAGCCTCAGCTTCAGGATCTGTCCTTCCAGTGATCACTCAGAGTTGATTTCCTTCAACATGGATAGGTTTGTTCTCCTTGCAGTCCAGGGGACTCTCAAGCATCTCCTCCAGCACCACAATTCAAAAGCATCAATTCTTCAGTGGTCTGCTTTCTTTATGGTCCAGCTCTCACTTCCATACATCGCTACAGGAAAAAACATAGCTTTAACTATGCGGACCTTTGTTGGCAAGGTGATGTCTCTGCTTTTTAAGATGCTGTCAAGATTTGTCATCACTTTCCTCCCAATAAGCAGGCATCCTGCAGTTTTGTGGCTGCTGTCCCCAACTGCAGTGATCATGGAGCCCAAGGGAGTAAAATCTGCCACTGCTTCCATATCTCCCCCTTCTATTTGCCAGGAGGTGATTGGTGCAGTGGCCATGGTCTTAGTTTTTTTGATGTCGAGCTTCAGACTGTTTTTTGCACTATCATCTTTCACCCTCATTACAAGGTTCTTTAATTCCTCCTCACTTTCTGCCATCA